TACAAAACAGAGACTTGCAGACATAGTGAACAATTTTATGGTTACTGGGGGAAAGGGGGTGGGAAGGGGTAAATCTGGGAGTTTGAGATTTGTAAAAGTTAACCACTATATATAAAAATAGATAAAAAACAAATTTCTTCTGTATGGCACAGGGAATTATATTCAGTATCTTGCAATAACTTTTAATGAAAAAGAATATGAAAACAAATATATTTATTTATACACATGACTGGGACATTATGCTGTTCAGAAACTGACAAAAGGTAACTGACTATACTTCAATTAAAAAAAAAGATGACTTTCTTTTATTGTCTCATATATTCTAATACCTTGGAGACCTTCACCATGATGAGAAAACTGTTATGTTGCTCATTTCATAGATCAAAGAACAAACAGCTTCTTTATAGCATAAATGAGGAAACCAAGGCCTAAAGTGTTTTAACTACTAGCTAGGTGATGCTAAAATCAGAGTGCAAATTCTGAGCTCCAAACTCCGGCTGAATGAGTGAATCAATGAGTGGAGTAATTGGTTTTTTAAAAGCCCAGTCTGGTTTATCCCCTGTCCTCATCTTCAAGATCCTTAGGGACAACTAAGAATCTTTTAAATGAGAGATTTAAGACATTTTCGTAGCTATGAGGTCCAAGCAAATTTCCATACTGGGGACTAAATTAATGAATTGAAACAAAATAAAAATTCTCAGTTATTTTAATATGGTAATCAGATTAGTATTTTGAAACCTGTAGTTGGAAAACTCTATTGCCAGAATGAGTTTAAGGATCTGAATTTTTTTTTTTTGCTTTTTATAACAGATTTATTAAGATCTAATTCAGATACCATACAATTCACCCATTACAATTGATATTTTTTTAATTGAAGTATAGAAGAATTGAAGACCCCTGGGATCCAGCCTATTGAAAAGCCCTATCCCCCTTGAGAAAGCCAGTGCCCATTCCCTTTGTATCATTGGGGAGGGTGACAGGCATTAAGATCTCTGTTTATGCTGACAGAGCTGTGAAGCACCTCACAGAGCATAGAAGACAAATTTCACTCTTTTAAGCTGCTCTAATGCTGGGCACAGACTAGATCCCCCTTACAACCTTTTTTTTCTCTGTAGCTCTGGATCCTGAAGGGGGTCCTGTTTTGGGAAGTGGGCAGCTCAAAGCTCATGCTGTGGTTCAGACTGAGTCTTGGAAGATAATCTTAGAGCTTTTCCACTTGCATCTAGAGTAAAGGCTAACAAGCTAGACAGTTAAGTTTATAATATGCTCAGAACAAATCGGGGGACAAACTGAATATTTTTGACAAATAACAACTGAGATCTGGACTTCTCATGGGCATCTGAAACCTTTTAAAAGAAGTAAAAATACTTGCTTCAACTTCGTCAGACCCTGTAGCTTTGATACTATCTATGTTTCTCCATGTTTAGTTTGTTTTGAGCTTGAATTCAAGGTAATTGCTACAGGAAAACAAGTTTTCAATCTGCCATTTACCCACTTTTCCCAACCACCCTCCCTGTCACCTCTGTCCTTTCAAAGATTTTTTTAAAACTGGCATGTGATACCTCCTATACCCGTCCCAGAGGTTTTAAAACTGTTTCAAATAAGGTAAATACAGGAATATAGGCCCATGGTTTTATGACGAGGAACAATTGGGCTATGATAACTTGTTCATAATAGAGGTTGGAGTGAATTCTAATAAAATGACTTAGAGGCTAATTTGTGGTAGACTGAAGTCACAGCATCCTTTCTTCTGTAAACCAGACTTTGATTTTTCTCTAGTTGCCACCTGTTCTGGGATCTTTAAAGAAAGTCAGAGATCCTAAGATACTTCTTTAAAAACGGCAACCTATTACTAGGAAACACTTTGATTCTTTATAGTTGCCTTATCTCTATATTTGTACCTTAAAAACTTTTCTTCCCACTTTTTTCAAAACTGTAGTATTTTAAAAATAGGCTGATTCCAGGTCCCGGTCCCAAGTTGATAATTACCTATGTAGACAATATAATTACCTGAGAGAAAGACAAAGTTTATCCCTTCTGCCTTCTACTAACTTCACCAAAATTTTAATTACAATTTGTGGGTAAGTCTTAATTTATTACAATAATCCTAGCTGAAGTTCTGAGTTTTGTTCATAAACTTTAAAAATATATGTGGAATTAAAAGATGTTAAAAGTTCTGGCCTTCATCATAATTTAGTTTTAATTTAGTTTTAATTTATTTAGGTTCCCCACCCTGCCACATACTTGAAGAGAAAGATTAAGGTATTAATTACTAGCCTTTGATTTTGGTTGATCAGTGGATCTTGTGTTCAGAACTATATTTTGGGCTCTTCTTGGCAAAGGATGAAGTGTTGTCATCTTAATTTGTAGTATCAATAGTTCCCCCCTCCAAAATTAACATTATTTTTTTAACTGAATATGTTTTAAATTATTAGCATCACCAAAAAAGTATTTATATATGTACATATACACACACATACTACCTCCTGATTTTTGGATCATTCATGTAGATTTTTAAAAAGAGTTTTATTTTAAAACAGACCAAAAACATAGTGAGGGGAGAAATTGGCTTTTTAGCAAATAACTATAATAAGAATCATAATCTGGGAAACTATTGAAATTTGACACAGTGCTCATTCTAATTTGAACTGATAAACCTGTTAACTTTAAGAATTAATGATGGTATTAGGCTTTAAGTTCTTTTTAAAAATCTTTTTACTTTAAGATATGTAACTGTTAGCTATTTTTTTCAATCTCTAATCATCTATTCACTGTGACAGTGTTTCTTTTCTTTTAGTCAATCCAAGTTCTTGTTTAAAAATTAAATATTTCTTAATGTATTTGGTTTTCTATCATTTTACACTATTTACCTACACTTTTCAAAGGGTCTGCTAGACTTTCTGAATTTGCGGAAACTGTTTCAGTAAGATTTTTAACCTTTCTCTCAACTTTTACCCAGGCCTGCAATAAGAGCAAGTGAACCCAACCATATTCTCTGATGAACAACTTTTAAAATCTATTTTGCTATTTTGCAGGATTAAAAAAACAAAGAAAGGATCCAAGTTATATAATTCTTTCTTTTTCTTGTGTGAAAGTTTTTAACCTTTGAGCACCTGAAACTCAAAATGTACTTGATGGAAAATGTACCAAGACATTGTGAATTCACTTGCAGAAACAAGCAGATTTCTGTTTATATAGTGGTAAATAGTTCATATGATGGTAAATATCCATGTTACAAGTTTACCACTGCAGTGACAAGGAGAAAGTAGGAAAAAACATTCTGAGTAAGCATGAAAATAAAGTTGATTTATTAATGGTATTTCACTATTAATATCAGCTCCTTATGGTGTAATCCACAGTTTTGAGTAAAAGGACTACTCTGCTGGGTTATAAGATATATTTAAGGATTAGATTCCCATTACAGTCACATCAACAAAACTGGTAGAGATTTTGGCAGGTGAAAAAGAATTCTAGTTTGGAGAGCTATGGAGATGTGAAGCTCTTCCAAAAAACACTACAAGAACAAAATTTGAATATGTTATGAATATATATTTCTTCAGTAAACATTTAACTTTTTCTTATTTTTATGAATTGATTAAATTATTTTTTCAAAGTGAATATATTTTTCTTATTTCAAAATTTAAAACCTCCACATTATAGAACAGTCAGAAAACAAGCAACATGAGCATTGTATTAGCTGGTTCAGGTTTCCAGTAAAAAAAAAAAACCACAGACAAGGGGTTTAAACAAAAGTTTGTCTTCTCAGTTATGGAGGCTAGAAGTCCAAGATCAAACCACAACAGTGTTTTTTGGTGAGACCTCTTTTCTTGGCTTGCAGATAACCACCTTCTCACTGTGTCCTCACATGGCCTTTCCTTTCCGCCCACCACTCCTGGTTATCTGTTCCTCTTCCTATAAGGACACCATTCCTATTGGATTCAGGCCCCACTCTTATGGCCTCATTTAACCTTAATTACCTCCTTAGAGGCCCTGTCTCCGAATAAATTCACATTGGAGGTTAGGGCATATGAATTTTGAGGGGACATAACTCAGTCCATAACATTTAACCCTTGTAATATCCTTTCAGTTATGTATGTGTATGTGTGTGTGCGTGTGCTATGTGTAATTTTTAAGAGGATAATACTATTTTGTTTGGTAACTTGCATTTTAAATGAATACATGACGGCTATCTTTGCAGGTGAATAGATGCATTTCAGCAACGTTTCTAACAGAAGTATATTATTTCATTGCTTGGATGCTTATAATACCAATTCTCTTTTGTTGACATTTGAGTTGTTTTTCTTTTTGCTATTAACTTTGAACGTATATTTCTGCGCATTTGTTTGATTATTTCTTCAGGATGAAGTCCAGGAAGTGGAACTGCTGGGTCAGAGGTGCTGACGTTTCTAAAGCTTTTAATACATACTGCCGACCGCCTCCGGAAAGGCTGTATCAATTATAAACAGCAGTGTATATATGCGTCCTCATTTCTCCACACCCCTAGCAACTCTGACTATCTTTACAATTTTTGGCTAACTTCATAGTTAGGGGTAAAAAGACTTCTCGGTTGTATAAGAACCAACATTTCATGCTTTCAGTTGCCTCAGGCCCCCTCAAGAGGTTGGGGGAAGAAGCTAACTGAAGAAATGCAGCCGCGTGTAGCTTAGGGTATCCCGGATCTGACAGATCAACAGGTGAATTATAGCAGGGAGTCAAGAGAACCGGAAGGGCAATAAGCAAGGGAACGGAATTTAAGGGTTTTTTTATGGGAGGGGCAACTGTTACAGGAACATTTTAAAGTTTTAAAGTTTAGGCAGGTACGTCACTCCAGGTTACCTGAAATTGCTTTCACAAGGGAAAGAGACAGCTGCCGACCACTCTGCGAGGTTAAGCTCCCATGCCCTCTGCAGCACTGGGAAGAAAGCGGCTACCCAGCCGGAGGACTAGGGCAAACGCCGCGCCGTCCCACAATGCCCCGCTCGCGCCCCCCTGAGGGCGGAGAAAAAGGACCGCTGCCAGGGTAGGGATCTGCGCGAGCTCTGAGAAGTGCGCACGCGCACTGACCCCGGCGGGCCCTAGCAACCAGAGCAGTGACAGTAGCAACGGCCGGAATGGTGAGTACCCTCCAGGCCTCGCAGCCAAAGCTGAGAGAAGATTGAAGGTGGAAAAGGCTGACTGTGGAGTGTTGAGGGTGGGGGAAGTCATCGAACAGCGGAAGGGAGCCGGTAGCGGATGCTAACTCCATGGATTTAGAGGCCTGAGGCGAAAGAGAAGCCCTGGTACCGGGTGGCCTGGGGTGAGGGCGGCCTGGGGCGGATTGGAGGTTGGGTTAATGGGGAAGGACTCGGGCAGAGAAAAGGGAGGGCAGAGAGCAGAAAATTCTCGAAAAAGGGCGGATTAGAGTGGGGAAGGTGATGGAAGGGAGACTGTGAATCAGGATATCGTTTTACACAGAAGTAATTTCCCCCTGGAGAGAGGGGAGGTGGAGATGGCTGGTTACGAGAGGAATGCGTGTAACACCGATGGGTTGCCGCAGTGTTTGTAGCCTGTGATGTGCCCAGGTTGCCCTCTGGGGCAACTGGCAGAATGACTGCCAGTTCAGTTAGTTATTAGGTAGCATTGTATAAAACACTCTGATAGAATATATTAGGGTAGTGTTTCTCTAGTTTCAGTATGCATAGATATGATTTTGGCCTAAGTTGGAGAGCAGATCATTAATTTTTAATATAATGGGGGTTCAGGAATGTGCATTTCAAGTGATTATAAAATTGGAGGACACCCCAGAACACTTTGAGAAATACTGCTGCCTTAGATTTGAAATCTGTCAGCAGTCTACCGAACTTCTTCATGAAGTAATGATTTTACCAAGTGATGCTCCTCAACTCCTACTTAAAATAAGCACTGTCTTGCTTACATACTTGGTAGTTCCAGCTAGTAGTTTGAAAAGGGATGTTGTTGATTGCTTATAGACCCAGCCAAAGCTATTTAGCAAAGTATGTGATTGTCCTGCCTGATGGAAATGTTTATAAAGAATGCATATAATTAGTACTCTTCTTTTTGTGATTTCATTGCTATGTAAGTGGGCAGATATTGATCCCAGGAAACTGTAAAATTAGTTTCCTCCGCTGCTCTCCTTACTTTATTCCACAAGCATTTAGCTGAAAACCAAGGAAAGTGAAAAATTCTGGAACCTAGATTTATATTCAGGTGAAGAAATAATCAGCCCTAAATAATCCTGAAAGCATGAACCATGAGAATTATCAAAAATCTTCAAAGAGAGAATCAGAACTACTAATTAGATTAAACTAGCTGAGGCTCAAACCCATAGTTCTGGGGGCCTCTAGAAATACAATCCCACATATTTTTTTAATTAAAAAAATTAGCTTCCAGTATCTTAAAAATGATCATATTTCACATCAAACCCAAATTTCTGGCTTCCCTGAAAAATCAGAAATACCATATTTTCACCGTTGGAGTCATTTTCCCCCACATTTTTGTATTACTGAAATATGATAGTGTAATATAATTGGCAGCATCTTTTCTTTCTTAATCGTACATAAAATAAAGGAGTTACTTTCAATTAATAGAGTTTTCGTATTTGAAGAAATGTGATATTAGAGTAACTCTTATCCCAAAGCCCAACTGTCAACAGTTCTCTGAAACCTCTTTATATGGCCAGCTTTACACAGTTAATGATGTCCATTGGTCCTTTAGGCATTTCAGACTTTGATTCCTGCTATCTATAGGGGAACTAGTGACCTTTTAAACTAATTTACAGATAGCTAGATTGCTTTTAGCTAGGTTGCTTCCAACTTGAAAATGTTCTTATGTGTCTCTTTTTTTTGGACCCATGCAAGGGTTTCTCTGGGAAATGAACCCAGGAGTGGGATTTTGCAATCATAGGGTCTGTGCATACTTAGCTTACCTAGGCACTGTCAGACTGCTTTCCAGGACAGCTGTGGTAATTTTTACTTCCTTCAGTAATACATGAGGGTTCCTATTTCTCTACATTCTTATCAACTTTCTAACTTTTGCCAATTTGAGGATGTATTTTAGTATCCCATTGTTTTACTCTGCATTTCTCTGATTTTCAGTAAATTCAAATACTTCATTGTTAGTCATCTGGATTTCAGTTTCTGTGAATTTTCTCTTTATATTTTTGCCAACTATTTTTGTTCATTTTTGAATTTTAGGAGTTCCTTGTATATTCTAGATATTAGTCCTTTGTTGGCTTTATGTTGAAAATATCTTAATTTTTCTGTTAACTTGTCAACAGTGTTCTTCATTTGCTGTACTACATCTGTTCTAATATTTGTCAGTTTATCCTATTGTGTTTCCTACATAGATGATCATCTGCACATAGTGAGTTTTATTTCCTTCTTTTAATCATTCCAATTTGTATTTCTTTTTATTGTAATATTGATAAAGATTTCTTGTTCCATGTTAAACAGTAGCCGTGATAGTAAGTAAGCATCCTTAATGTGTTTGGGATCTTAAAGAGAATACTTTTAATGTTACCTTCCTAATTTGGCCCACCTTGACCACCTTATTTAAAATAAATATCCTCCATACACATATACACACATCCTAATACCCCTTACCAAACTTGGCATTTCCTTTTTCCTTAGTAATTGTCACCTTCTAATTTACTATATAATTTACTTATTTATTATATATATTATTTACCGTCTGTATCCTGCCAATAGATGTAAATTCCATGAAGGCAGGGATCTTTGATTTGTCCACTGATATAACCTAAGCAAGTGAAAAAATGTTTGGTACATAGGAGATAATCAATGAATATTTGCTGAAATTAATGAATTGCTCCATTAAGTATGGTGTTTGATATAGCTTTTTTATATGTAACTTTTATCAAGTAAGGCATTTCACTTTAAACCTTAGTTGAGAGCTTTTAAAAGGAGATGTAGAACTTTATTAAGTGTTTTTTTCTACACTTACTGAAATAAATGTGATTTTCTCCCTTTAATCCAGTAATAAATGATTTACATTTATAGATTTTTCTGTTGTTAAACAATCCTTATGCTCTTGGAATAAGCCATTTTTGATCATGATCATTATACACTATTGTCTTTGGAGATCTAATATTGTGTCTAGAATTTGAAAATCTGTGTTGGGAAGTAAAGAGGGCTCCTTATCTGATTATGGACAGCATTAAGATTATTCTAGCCTCATAAAATAAGTTGGCAGCTTTCCTATGTAACAAGGAATATCTGTTCCTTGAAAGCTTGGTAGAACTCACTTGTAAATTTATCCAGGCTTGGAGCTTTAGGGGAGGAGGGTGAGGGTAAATCTTTTTGATTATCTTTTTAATGTTTTAAATGATTATGGGTCTATTCAAGTTTTCTGGTTCTTCTTGTGACAGTTTTGGCACTTTTGTTTTTTCTGGAAATGTATACTTGGTCTAAGCTTTAAAACTTATTGCCATATATTTGCTTATCATATTTTATTTTTTAAATCTCTGTGGTATCTACGTTATTTCCCCTTATTATTCTATATTTTTAATTTGTGTATCTTTCTTTTTTGCTCAGGCAGGCTTGCCACAGACTTAAGAACCAACTTTTAGTTTTGTTAACCTTTCCCCCCCCATTCTGTTTTTCATTGATTTCTTCCTTTATATTTCTTTCTGCCTTCATGATGTACTTTTTCAAATATCTTGAATGTTTAGCTTATTTGTTTTCTGTCTCTTGTTATCTTATTTTTAAATGAATGTATTTGAAGCATAAGTTTTCTTTTAAGTGTTATATTCCTCAAATTTTCATGTTCTTTGTCTTTTAATATTTTACTTTAATTTATAATTTTATTTTTAATTTAAAGGTTATTCATTAGCATGTCTTTACTTTATAGACATAATTCCTTTTGTTATTGTTTAGGATTCTTTCTTTCTTTTTTATGAGCTCCAGCAATAATTCAAAAGATGTCTTCCTTTTCTCATCTTTAAAGTTTTAAATGTCATATTAAATTGAATCTAAGATATTGTTGATTATAAGGTGCAACATTATTTTATGTTCCACTAAGAAAGAAAAACAAGAAATTGGAATTAGTCTATGACATAATTTCCTATCACTTAGAATTTTTATTTTGTACTTATTGACAGAGTTATTTTAAATATATTTAGGCATATAGATTTTTATCATGTCATCCTTTGACAAACATAAAAATGAATATGGTATGTATAGTGAATAAAATGGTTATATTCTTCTAAAACTTCATCACTGCTACCTGGCTGCAAGCAATTATAAATTGTTCCTGGTTGTAAGATGTATCCAAATTTCAGAGATACTAAAAATGTAAAAGAAGATGTAAATCTTAGAATCAATGAAATAAGATATACTTTAATATCAGTGTTGAAAACTGTGTGTTTTTTGTAAACCAGGTGGGAGTAAAGTATACAACATTACATCATGATTTTCTTAATTTCTCTGAGAGGCATTTGAATAAATCATTCTGATTTCAGAAAATTAAAACACTCTCTTTGCATATAAAATCTTAAGGAAAGAAGTTGATCTTTTTAATGGTAGATGCCAAGGCTAATTATTGCATGAAAATTCAGTCAGCAAATTATACCAATAAAGACAGCCTTGTTTTTTCTTTTCTTTTTAAGGCAAAAGCAACAACAATCAAAGAAGCCCTAGCCAGATGGGTGAGTTTTTAAGTTTTTACTTCTTTTAGAAACCATACAAGGAGAATTTTTGGGTAGTTACTTAAGTCTAATCATTCAGTACAAGAAATCTTTGTGATATTAGAACGTTTAGCAATCTTGACTGTGGTAGTGGATACATGAATTACACAGGTGATAAAATTGCATAGAACTTAATACACACATACAGAAACATTCACACATATGTACAAATGAGTACAAGTAAAATTGGGAAAATCTGATTAAAATCAGTGGATTGTATCATTATTGATACTGGTTGTGATATTACACTATAGTTTTGGGAAATGTTACCATTGGGGGAAACTGGAAAAGTGTATAAGGGATCTCTCTGTATTGTTTTTTATTAACTACAAATGAATCTTCAAATATTTCAGTAAAAAATTCAATTAAAAAAATCTGACCACTGTAAAATTTAAACATGGAAAGGCTGATTAATCTGTTATTGTAAGATGGCTGGAATCTCTATGTTACAGTACATTTTCTTTTTCAACATTACCGTCATTAAACTACATGTCATTTTCAGGTGATAGAGTGTCACGCGAATTGTCTAGGTTTTAGGAATGGTAGTTTTAGCCTCTTGGAAGTTGGAACAGAGACAGCCAGTGTGGGCAAGTGAAAATCATGCATAGACAACTGAAAAGACATCAAATAAAAATACTAAAGTGATGCTCAGTATCACTGATCATCAGAGAAATGCAAATCAAAACCACAGTGAGATATCACCTCACACTTGTTAAAATGGTTATCATCAAAAAGATGAGAGAAAAGTATTGGTGAGGATGTGGAGAAAAAGGAACTCTTTTGCACTTTGGTGGGGATATAAATTGGCACAGCTGCTATGGTGAACACTATGGAGGCTCCTCAAAAATTAAAAGTAGAACTACTGTGTGATCCAGCAGCCCCACTTCTGGAAATATATCTGAGGGGAATGAAATCACTATCTTGACAAGATACCTATATTCCCATGTTCATTGTAGTGTTATTCATAATAGCCAAGATTTGGAAATAGCCTAAATGTCCATCAATGGATGAATGGATAAGGAAAATGTGTATATATACACAATGGAATATTATTTGGCCATAAAAAGATGGAAATCCTGCCATTTTCAACAACATAGGCGGACCTTGAATGCACTATGCTAAGTGATACAAGTCAGATAGAGAAAGACAAATACTATATGATTTTACTTGTATGTGGAATCTGAAAAAGTCAAACTCATAGAAACAGATTAGAATGGTGGTTGCCAGAGTTGAGGGTGGAGAAAATGAGGAGGTGTTGGTCAAAGGATACAAACCTCCAGTTGTAAAACAAGTTATGAGGATCTAATGTACAACATAGTGACTATAGTTAATATTGTATTATATACTTGAAAGTTGCTAAGAGAATAGATCTTAAATAATCTCAGCACACACATGAAATAATTATGTGAGGTGACAGATGTGTTAACTAACCTTTTTCTGGTAATCATTTTGCTATATATACATGTTATCAAAGCATCACATTATATACCTTAAATATGTGCAATGTTGTGTATGTCAGTTATATGTCAATAAATCTGTAAAAAGTGGTATCATTTTGTAATGTATAGAAATACTGAATCACTATGTTATACACCAGGAGCTAACATAGTGTTGTAGGTCAATTATACTTCAACAAACTCATAGAAAAAGACATCAGATTTGTGGTAACCAGAGGTGGGGGGAGGGGGAATTGGATGAAGAAAAGTGGTCAATAGGTGCAAATTTCCAGTCACAAGAGAAATAAGCACTAGGGGTGTCAAGTACAGCATAATTAATATAATTAACACTGCTGTATGTTACATATGAAAGTTGTTAAAAGGGTAAATCCTAAGAATTCTCATCACAGGAAAATATTTTTTTCTTTTTCTTCTATTTTGTGTCTATATGAGATGATGGATGTTCACTAAACTTATTGTGGGAATCATTTCATGATTATATAAGTCAAATCATTATACTGTACACCTTAAACGTATTCAATGCTGTATATTAATTATATCTGGAAAAAATAGATAATACATACACAAAATACTTTTTTAAAAAGCATATAGTAGTTTAGAGAGGAAACTGCATTGTAAAAAAGCATGCATTAAATATAAACCAATATTTTGAATATAACATTCTATAAAATTTGAACAGTTGTAATTAGCATTGCAGATAGAATTTTCATAGAGTATGGAGGTGGCTTCTCAATTTCTATGCCCAGTGATGATTTATTTGACTATATTACCAGTTGTTTTTTGTGTAGTAATGTATCTTTTGCTTTTGTAGCTGGGTTTTGAACAAAAAGTCTTTCAAGAAACTTGGTGTCTAGGGAAAACAGACAAAGTGGTAGGGTAATGAAGTATTTAAATTCTTGTTTTAGTGCTTATTAACTTCTTAGTATTCTAATTACATTTTAAAATTTCGTTTCTGTTTGGTTAATGAAAAATCAGTTTTATTTAATAAAAAATTATGAAGTAGGCTCAGTATTAGATTTGATTCCCTTGAATCAGATTTTAGAACTGACTTTATTTATTTATAATAACAAGTGGTTGGTTTTTTGGTTTGGTTTGTAGGTTCTATTTCTAGATTACATTATGGCCGTAAATCTTCGACTTTCAGATTATTTGAAGACATCATGCTCATTCTCACACTGATTAACCCCAGATTTATTGAGAATCTACTGGATGTCAGTCTCCCCTCTCCTAACCTACAAATGTATGGCACAAAAATAAGTAATGAGTGGATGTGTATTAGATTTCTTTCAACTGATTATATATTTTTTATTATTGACGTGTTTCGATTTGATTATTTAAAATAAGCTTCTTTTGTATCTTGTATTACACTACGTTATAGAAAACATAGGAAAGCAAAGATAACGGTTCCTGAGCTATAGGAGTTTCTTAATTTGTTGGAGATATAGAGCTAACTCTAAGTATTGATATATTACAGAATATTATTAGGCAGCATATACTGGTAATTAAAATTTGTATTGTGTACTTAGTGCTGAAATTAAACTCTAAGGTAGAATTTAGTAGTAAATTATAGAGCAAATAGATTTGACTTCAGCTCTGTTATAAAGAGACTATCTTCCAAAATTCTTGGTATTTGGGGGTTCTAGCTCAGACTAAACTGTAGATAGGAAAAGGAAGATGAGATGACAAAGAAAAGAGCTGATCTTACAGGTCTGAATCTGATACTTAGGAAAAGGTTATTTAGGGACAATGAATTCTTCCCAGGAAAATGTTTTTGTTGTTGTTTTTTATTTTTGTTTGTTAATTGATAGGCTCTTAAAGGATTTTAAAAATTACAGAAATTAAAAATTACTTTCTTTCCCCCTCTTTTCCATTTGGTTGAGATCTAATATTGAATTATCCTAATCAGCCACATATAAGCCTAGTTATCAGGTTCAGTAAGTAAATGTTGTCAATAAGTGAATTGTAAAGAATGTACAGAATGATTAAATGTTGACAATTGTTTTGAAATAAACATTGAAAAGCCTTGGGAACTTCTGGCCTTTTTTCATTCCACATTAAAATCCAAGATCATTAGGGGAGTGGGTATAGCTCAGTGGTGGAGTGCATGCTTAGCATGCATGAGGTCCTGTGTTCAATCCCCAGTACCTCCATTAAAATAAACAAACAAACAAACAAACAAACAAGCAAACAAACCGAATTACCTCCCCCACCAAAAAAAAAATCCGGGGTCATTTTCTTCCAAATTAATTTTTATCATAGGAAGAGAAAACCAGTCAGAAGCCATCCGAAGCCAGAGAGATAAAGCTGTACGCCCAGATTCCCCCTATAGAGAAGATGGATGCGTCCTTGTCCACACTTTCTAATTGCGAGTAAGTTCTTTTGTCTTTTTTTCATCCTTCTAATATTGCTGTTAAGTTTCCCTTCTGTTTCTAAATACACAAGCCAGAAAAACATATTTTTCTGTGATCTTCATTTCTTTTTCTTTCTTCCTTTCTTTCTTTTTTTTTTTCTTGCTTAATATGATTCTCTCTTTGGCAAGGGCAAACATAAAGGACTGTTGGTTTATAGTATTATTAATAAAGTAATTCTGAACAATACAGTATTTTTTACATACAATTTTTATGATATGCCTGGAAAATAGAAATTCCCTGTCTCTTGGGAGAAGCTAAATAACACAATAAAACTATTACTCTGTCATAAAATCTAGTACTTTCTCTTATAAAATTAGACACCAAAAAAAAAAAGTTAAGGAAAGAACAACAAAGTAAATCCAAAGAAAATAAAAGAAGATAATAAAGATAAAATGTGACATAAATGAAGTAAAAGACATATACAAAAAAAGAAAATTATCCACCAAAGTCAGTACTATACTTACTTAGAGGCACAAGAAACACTGCTTTAAAAAAACTTTTCAAATTATGTAAATACATTGTAAAACATCTAGAAAATATTAAAAGCACAAAGGAAATAATATCAACCAAAATTACACCAATTTTTCTTGCATTCTTTTTTATTGGAAGTATAGTCAGTTTACAATGTTGAAATTATGCCACCTTTTGAGAACCAGTGTTAGTAGAGTCTTCTAATTTTTTTTGTAATTGGGATCACATTATACCTATTTGGTAATCCTATTTTCCCATGACTTTAAGTATCAGATCTGTATTAATTCTTTTTAACTTATTTCTAAATACTCCACATACTTTTTAGCAGGTTCTGTGGCTAATATGAGGTAGTTTTACCATGACACCTTGTAATCATGCTCTTGTCAGGGCTGTAGAATATTATAGAATCACTTGGGGTTCTCCCTGATTTCTTCATCCTATGTTCTTCTAAGTGTGGTCCCCTGACTTCCTACAGAATCTCCTTGGGCGGAGATAAGCCCCACTCCAAATTTATAGAAATAGAATCTACTGATGAAACGAGGTATCTGTATTTATAATAAGCAACTTGAATGATTCGTAGACACGTATTTGTGAACCCATACATTAGGTTAATATCTGTCTTTCAAATTAAAAGGAAAAGCAAACATATTTAGTTGTTGCATGCAACTTGTCCTTTGTGATCAGAACATAATGTATTATATAAAAATCCACCTTAGATTTTTTTTTGGCTTCAAAATCATGATTTCAAAGAGCATTATTTCAAAGTGGTCAAATATGTTTTTATCATAAAGCCATATCAAAGGCAAGCATTTGAGAAGGTTTTGTGCTCCATACCAGAGTACCTTGGAAACTGCTTAGAAAAAGTCAAGGTGTTCACATTATTGCTGACAGATCTTTGGGCAGGTTGGCTAAAAAACAATTAGAGAATTATTCCCCCACCATATTCTCATGTTTTCCACTCTTGTTTTTCACATTCACTGGTAGTTTTTGGGAGTGGGGATTGACTTGAAAATACAGAAATTTGACCAATAATTTACACTGTACAGTAATCGCTTTTCCTGTTCTAAGCAGAAAGAATGAATAATTCCTCTTCAGGTAAAATCAGAAAGGATAAGATCACATGTTCTAGAGTCAGTTTTGGGTTTTAAATTTGGCTGTGTAACTTCCTGTCTGTGTAACAGGCTAATTGCTTAACATCCTTGTGCCTCTGTTTCCTCATTTGTAAAATATAGATAATAATAGTTATTTCATAGGATTGTTGTGATGGTTAAAATAGTTAATACATGTAAAGTACTTAGAAGAGTACTAGGCATACATTAAGTGTTCAATAAAATTAGCTTTTATTATGTTCTTTCCATGAAATATTACTAAGATATTAAACATTTTTGTCAAGAAAGGAAGACTAAGAATGTGTAATTATGCTCCCTTTAAACTTTTGTTTTTATACAATTAAAATATGTATAGAATGAATCTAGACAAATATATACAAACTATTAAAAGTAGTTATCTCTGGGGAAATGCATGGGGTGCTTAGGATTACATATAGTTTTTATAATATACATATGATGGACATGTTTCCAAGTTGGTATCTATAGCCCAATCTTGTTTGTTTTAGTGGCAGAATAGTATTTCATTATCTGTATTCCTCAGTTGATGAGTGTTTATAGATTTTTCCCAGTTTTTTGCTATTACAATAATATAATAAATAATCTAATTTATATATCTTTTGGCATTTGTATTAGTATTTCAATAGGATATATTCCTAGAAATGAATTATTGGGTCAAAGAATACATGCATTAAAAAATTTGGTGACACCAAATTGCCCTCAAAAAGGTTTTTTGAATTTTATACAATGAGTGTGTATTAACTTTGTAATCAGGAAAAATGTATGAGGATTTCTAAGTGAAGGAGTACATGCCGTGTCTGAGAGGAAAAAAGGATTCAGTGTAAAAAGGAAATGTGACTTAATGTCATCTTCTGTAGGCACTAGAAGAATAATTTCTGATATACCATTAACTTTTTTTCATATTAATTCAAGTTTTCCTTTCTTTTTTTTTTTTAGGAAGCTTTCACTGTCTACCAACTGCATTGAAAAAATTGCAAATCTGAATGGCCTAAGTAAGTGATCCACAGTAACAGATGGTTCTTGGATTTTTTAGTTATTTGGAACAAACATTCCAGAGGCACTACATAATCTTAGAAGCTTGCACCTGTTTTAACCACAATAATTGTCAGATGACAGACTATATAAACCATGTGTCTTAAGTTTGATTACCCAAAGAAATTTGAGATAACATGAAACCTGAACATTTAAGACATTTTGAAGGTTTTATAGAGTTAGAACTGAACTATCTTGAAGAGAAAAATCAGATTTTTTAATTGTACTTTTTGTTCAGGTTTACCTTGTGTTTCATACTTGTTATATTTATATATTGTAATAATAATATATTGTTATATTTTAAAGTTTATTACTCACCATCCCTATTTTTCCTATGCCGGTGCTCCTTATGACGTGGACACCTTCCCAGTTGCCAAGGCTCCTTGTGCTAGTTGCCTATAGCTACGGAAACTTGGTGGCTTAAATACAGAAATTTATTCCCTCACAGTTCTAGATGCCAGAAGTCTGAAATCAGTTTCACTGGGCCAAAATCAAGGTCTTGAAAGAGCCATACTTTCTCTGGAGGCTTTAGGGAAAAATCTCTTCCTTGTCTTTTTTAGATTCTGATGGCTGCCACATTCCTTGGCTTGTCACTATATTGCTTGAATATAACGGTCAATTTGCCCTCTCCTCTTTTGTCTCTGCCTTATCTTTCTTTCTCACCCTCTTATGAGGATGCATGTTATTGCATTTAGAGAACACCTGGATAATCAAGGATATTCTCCGAGTCTTAAGATCCCTTACTTAATTATGTCTGCAAAGTACTTTTTTCCCACATTTGGTAACATTTACTAAGTTCCAGGGATTAGGATGTAGGTGTCTTCTGGTGAATCATTATTTACCTATCTTATTTCCACTTTACTTCCCTCAAGCCCTGCATCCAAGTTCATCACTAAGTTCTGCTGACTCTACTCTGAAAGAGCCTTCAAATAAGTTTTTGTTTTTCCATTTCCAGGAGCTGCAGCTTTAATTTAGACCCTCATCATCTCCCCTTTAGGTCGTGTTTTCAAACATTTTTAAACACTTCCCACAGTAAGAAATACATTTGAATTAGTGATTCAGTACATCTATTCATATGAATATACGTATCAAATATATGTATACTCATATGAACTGGATTAAAATTTATAAAAAAAATAATTACCTTTATAGCATCGGTTCCTAATAAAATTTTTAGTGTGATTTCATGTTTTTAAAATGCTTGTCCCAACCCACTAAATTGATTTTACATGACCCACAGTTTGAAAAAACACTCATGACTTTTGTTGATAACCTCCCAATTTATCTCCTTGTTGCCTATCTTTCTGTTCTTCAGTTGAACCAGAGTTTTCTTTTTAAAAATATTGTTCTTATTATTATTCCTCCATATCAGGGACCTTTAATGACTCTCCTTTGCCTAGGAAAGACCAGATGCCTTAAGGTTGCATTCAGAGTCATCTAAAAGCTTATAACACCCTCTTCACATCCAAACACATCATTCTTTTTCATGATGTTGTACACTTGTTAATGCAATGGTTTTCACTGAGAACAGCCCCTTCTTCTAACAGGAGAACCCTACAAGAAATAAAATTAAGATCGAGAATGCGGAGTTTAAATGTTATTTAGAGGGAGACCTCTAAAGACTTCTCTAATCTCCACCATCATGATTACTTCTTCTTTGGGAGGATTTACAGTCTACCTTGGATTATAATAATAATTACCTCTTCATATAGTTATTGTGAAGATTAAATGAGTTAGTGTGTATAAAGTGCTTAGAATAGTGCCTGGTGCATATAAATGCTCAAGAAATATTATCTGTTATAGTTAGTGAGGAATATGTTCTGTCTCTTTAGATAATGAGCTCCTTGAGGGCAAGCATCACATCTTATTAATCTTCTTACTTTCTATTCCAAATCTCTATCTCACCCCAACCCCGGTACCATACTCAAAGTTGCATTCAGTATTTATATAGAGCTGAAGAAGTGTTTACTATTACAGTTGTTTATAAGATTGTTCAGTCTATTCTAGTTTTCACTGACTCATTAAACAATTTGAGATGTTTCATTTTGTTCACTACTTCATTTCAGTTTCTTTGTCTGTAATTGAAATAACTTGCTTAAATGAGACTAAATTGATAACATGTTATTTATCAGTACAGATAAAATGCTTTTCTTTCATAAAAAACATGACTATCTATAGCCAGAATAGAGCCCAGGGAATTTGGGGTTTTGTTTTAATATTTGATTTAATTAAAATAAAATTAAAATTTGCTTCTCTGTAAAAAAAAAACATGACTATGACAATATGAAAATGGATAATCTTCTGAATAGGGCTAGTAATGGGTTTTAACCCATTCTCTTTGGTCAATTAGTAGTGACTCTCAAAAAGATCTTATTAAGAAGAGTTCCAAAAATTCAAGGGAAAAGAGTACCTTGATCAATTATTGATGTCTGATGTAGACATGAAGTGGGAGAAGATAGGCATTTATATAGTATATTTACTATACTTGACTCATCTCATTTTAATCCTGCTTGTAACAAATGGTATTTCTGCAATGTACAGAGGAAATACACTTTATCTGTGACTTTGCAGCAAAAAGAAACCAACTCATCCACATAAAACATTGAATATATGACTGTAGCTTCCCTCCCACCCCCTTCCTTTCATAAGCACTATAGTCTTACCTACTACACTAGATGAAAGGATCTGAAATAAGTAGGTATTCCTATTTCACAGGGGTTTTATGAGGTGGAATAACCCTAACAGCAATATGTATTTATTGTACCAAACCTGTATGACATGACTATGTTCAAAACTATGGCTAAATAGCAGTACAATGTGAGTATTAATACTCACATAAAAGATTAGAAAGTAAGTTTTGTTGGTAAAAATTATACTTTTCTCCTTCAGTTTACTAAATACATTAACATATAAAACTTTTAAGATGCTGTTTTGATTTTTGTCAGGACCTATGAAGAAACTGTGTTTTCCTTCTAGTGGTGCTCTACTTATGCCACATATAAAACATGGAAAATACATAATTGTGTAATATTGGAACGTTTAATCTACTAACTTTGATGTCATAATTTACTTCCTTATACAGCAATAAATAAGATCTTTTTAGTCTTTCATTACCATTTTCATGTGCATTTTTTAAGAGTTGTATATATTAAGTTAGATATTATCTTTGAAAGATTTGCATATATCTATTATCTCCAATTTCTGAGGTCATTTCTCAGTTCTTATCTTAGTTGACCTAAGTATTTTTTTTTAACTTTTTTTATTGAGTTATAGTCATTTTACAGCGTTGTGTCAAATCCCAGTCCTAAGTGTATTTTGACATGGATGATTTCTTTCCTCTTTGAAGCAGTCTCAAGATTTGGTTTCTAGGACACTATACCTTTCTGATTTCCTCCTGCTTTTCTGGCTATTTCTTTCCAGTCTCGTGTCCTCGCATTTTAAATATTGGCGTATCCCAGGACTCAGCTCCTAGATCTCTTCCCTTTTCTGTCTTTACCTACTCTCTAGATTATCTCATCCAGTTCATAGCTTTACCATCTACAAGCCAATATCTCCTAAATTTGTATCTCTAGTCCAGGCAACTCCTCTGAACTCCATTCACACATTCAGTTTTGCTCAACATTTCCACTGGATGTCTAATAGGCATCTCATGCTTAGCATGTCAAAACTGAGTCCTGATATCCTTCCCCAGCTCTAGATAGGCCAGCTACTTGTGTGTATCTCAGATAGTGACAACTTCTTCCAGTTGCTCAGGCCAAACTTATTGGTGACTTCTTGACTTCTCTCTCACATCACCCCATATAAGGCCTATTATCTTTGTAATTTCATCTCCTATTACTCTTCTTTCATTCTCTCAGCTGGGTTGTGTTTTGTGAATACTTCTACTATGGTCTTGCTTCAGAGCCTTTGCAATTGATGGTCCCTCTGCCTGTTCTTCCTCCAGATATCCTCATGGCTAACTGCTTCGCTTCCTTTGAGTCTTTATTTAGAAGTCACGTTCTATCTAAAATGTCAGATGCTCCCACCTCCTGACATTTCATTCCTTTTACCTGCTTTTCTTTCTGCTTTAAACTTGTCACTATCTAATATACTTATTTGTTTTATTATCTGCCAAATATTAGCTCCATGACAGCAGGAATTTTTATCTGTATTATTCACTGTTATATTGCAAGTGCTTATAGCTGTGCCTTGCATGTAGTAGATGCTCAATAATTGTGTATGGAGTGAATAACTTTTTGAATAAGCTTTTTATTCTGTATGAATTAGGAGAAGATAAAATAGTATTTTTCCATATCAAGAAACTAAATTTAAAGAATAGTTGATTATGTGATTTTCTTAAATATTTAAATTTTACACGTTTATAGTTATATGGGGTGTATTTATTAGGGCTGCCATAACAAATTCCACCGACTGTGTGGCTTAAAACAACAGAAATTTATTTTCTCACAATTGTGGAGGCTAGAAGTCTGAAATCAAGGTGTAGGCAGGATTGATTACTTCTGAGGCCTCTCTCCTTGGCTTGTGGATGGCCATCTTTTCCCTTTGTCTTCATATAGTCTTTCCTCTGTTTCTGTCTGTGTACTAATCTCTTCTTATTAGGGTACCAGTCATATTGGACTTTACCTAAAATGATGTCATTTTACCTTAATTATCTCTTTAAAGGCCCTATCTCCAAATAAAGTCACCTTCTGAGGTACTGGGGGTTAGGACTTCAACATACAAATTTTGTGAGGACAAATTCCAGCCATAACATGGGGTCTTGTTTCAATAGTTAAACTATTGAGCTTGAATTAGATCACTTTAAAAATACCTCATTCTTAAAGCTAAATGTTTCTCATAAGATAATTTAAAATAATTTATTGAATTAAATAGATTAAACCCAAAGTTTATATAACTATAAATGCCTGATACACATTATTTATTGTGTACTCACCATGAATTAGGCACTATGCTGAATATTTTAGACAATTATCTCATTTAATCTTTATATTCTTATAAGATAGATACTATATTTCCTCATTTTACGTAAGATAAAACTGAGATTCAAAGGGGTTTGGTTGTTTCCGTAGAGAGTTAGGATTGGAACTTAGTTAAATGGATTTGTGTTCTTAACCATTGAATTATGGATGTTATAGAAGAGTACCATCCAACAGAATTATCTGCACTATCGCAATACAGTTGCCACTAGCTATATATAGCTATTAAGCTCTTGAAATGTGGTTAGTGTGAGTGAGAAACTGAATTTTTAATTGTATTTAATTTTAATTAAATAGCCACATGTGGTTAGTAACTACCATATTGGACAGCATATTTATAGAAGTTGTGAATACTAAATGTGGAACTTATGCATAAGTAGTCAGAATAGTTTTTTAGGACAGCAATGAAGTTTCCTGTGTTTTACTAGAGGTCTTTTATTTTAATTTTGAAAAATAATATATTTACATGGTTTTATGCAAATAGTTCAGAAGAGGTTACAGTTAAAAATATCTTTCTCTGACCATAGACTGACTCTCAGTTCCTTCCAAAAAGCAGCCACTGTTTCTACTTTTCTTTTTTCTCTTCCAGAAATAGCCTATAGATATACAGATAGAAACATCCTTTAAAAAAAATTCAAATAGACATTTTCTTAACCAAATAACAATCTAATTATTTTTTAAGTGAAAGTAAAAGATTTAAAAATATTAATTCATTTGATTTCACTTCTAATACTTTGTAGAGTGAGGTGAGCTATGTGTAAATATGTTTCTGTTTTCTGCTGTAAGTCCTCATACTATAAAAGACTTGAAATATATATGCTCCCAAATTTAAAGTTCAAATCTTCTTTACTCTTATTTTATCCTTGTAATATTTTTACTAGCAGCAATTTAAAACCATGCATTCCAAATAGCTAACCATTTTAAAATTTAATATTGGCATGGTGTACAATTATCATTGTAGTGTTTACCTTAGATGATAGGTCAGTGTTAGTTCCTATTTGATTACCACTTTTTATTCATACAGCCTTTATTATTATATAAGGCTATTTATTATTCAAAATTTATTAAACTTTTATAATATTAGATTTACATATTGTATAATATAATTCTAATAAACCAAACATTGCTTTATTTCCTCTACAGAAAACTTGAGGATATTGTCTTTAGGAAGAAACAACATAAAGAACTTAAATGGACTGGTAGGTTCTTATTTATTACTTTAGAAAAGCATACGCTCTTTTTCTTTAGTATATAAATAATACTTGTCTGTTGCTGAAACTTTACAAAATAGAAAAGCAAATATACAAAATACCTATAAACCACTGACAGTTTAAATACTGCTAACATTTTGATTGACATCTTTCTTGCTTTTTTTCTATTCTTTGATGGACATGTTGAGAATGAAATCATACTGTACATATTGTTTTGCATCTCTTTTTTTTACTTAATATGTAAAGATAATCTTCCCATGTCATTCATTCATTCACTCAACAAATTGATGCAATATATTTCCTGAATGCCTACTTTAAGCCAGGCATTGTTCTAGGCACTGGAAGTACAGAAGAATATAAAATAAAGTCCATGCTCTTATTGAACTTACATTACAGTAGAGGGAGACAGACTAGAAAATAATTATATAATACACAAGGTGGTAATGAATGCAATGAAGAAAAATGAGGGATGTAAGAAAACATAAATTGATGGGAAGTCCTCTCTGGAAGTGAGGATGTAGGCTGTAGAACTGACCAAGGGACAAATGCTCTAGACTTGAGAGGGACAGCAAGTGCAAATATCTTGAAACTGAAGCTGTCTGGTATACTTGAGTTGCATGAGGGAGAATTGTCCTCAGTGAGGTTGGAGAGGGAGCCAAGAACCTGTCCTTATAAGACATGATAAGATTTTAGATTTTTTTCCAAGTGGCTTGCAAATCCATTGGAGGTTTTTGATCAAAGGATATAACTTGAGTTTTTAAAATAATTTTCAACTACACCCTTTTTAATGACAGCATAATATTCTATTTTATTGATGTACTGTAATTTATTTAAATCAGTTACTTATTATTCATTATTTACTTCCAGTTTGGAGTTATTATAATCAATGCTGTTATGAATCTCCTTTTAGCTATATTATTGCACACATCTATGAATAATTCCTTCGATAAATTCCTTAAAATGGAATTGCTGGGTCAAAAGGTATGCATTTCTTTTAAGGCTTTTGTGACATATTATCAAGATATCCTTTGGAAAGTTTGTAAGTTTATACTCCCACCAGTAATCTGTGAGGGTTCCCGTTTCCACTTCAACCTTGGGCATTTTTCAAGTTTTTGACAGTGTGTTTTATTTGTATATTTATTGGCCATTTGAATTTCCTTGCAAAGAAGTTCAGGTAAAACAATATTGTGAAAGTAAGCAATTTCAGAAAAGATGAAGCTGATTTCTTTTTCTTGTATATGTTCCCCAAAAGACAACTTTTTAAAAAGTGCTTATTGTTAAATACTTCATAAAAATTCTGGAATATTTTGTGACTTTGGCTTCCTCCACACCCTCCCCCAATAAGTCTAGCTTGTGCTTCATAAGGGTCAAAGAGTTTGAAACTTCAATGTTCCCCAACAGTAATCTCCCAAGACCAGACAGGCTAAAATGGCCATCCACCCCATTTACAGAAACAGCCAAAATGCCTGAACAGTAGTCAGTGCTCAGAGGTACAATTATGGAATTATCTTGAATTATCTGAATAATATTCCCACATCTGCATGTCTACTTACTCAGGTAAAGTGTTACTAATAAATTTATAAAATGCTTGGAAATTCTTAGAGATTACATCCTGGAGTTAAATAAAGGAAGTTTTCTCCCCAAAAACCATAACCAGTAGATGAATTGTTTGCTTTCTAGCTAGATATGATGAGTAAAATCCTAATTATCTGTAAAAAAAATTTTTTTATGTTCTAAATGATTGGTAAATTTAAAGACATTTTGCCTTCTCTTCATTCTCTGAGCCTTAGATGATAAAAAGTGTCAAATACAGGAACATTATTCATGATGGATAAAATATTAAATTGTAGTATAAAAATTCAGAATTTATTATACTTCAAGCTAAACATTACTTTGAGTTATCTGTAAAGGAAGAATTTGCAAATAAACGTACCCTGGAAGTTTTAGAACCAAAACTAGATGCTTGTTGTTTTCCCAGGTATTTACAGAACACCAGGTTCTCAAATATTAATATGGTATATAATTTTTCCCATGAAATGTAATATATACATAAAAACCACATAGAAATTATAAATACAGGATTAAAGGCATTCATGAAGATATTATTTAGCTGAACCATCACTTGCTTAGATCTCTTTACTTTCTATAGACTCCTATCAATAACACTCAGCAGTTGGTTTTTTTTCCAGGATGTGTGTGTATATATATATTATACATATACCAAAAACAACATTTTATCAGTCCAAAAGCTTTACTACTTATGCATAGACTAAAGAAAAGTAAATCTGCATAGGGATACAGATGCTAGACTTTGAATAGGTTCACATACAAACTGATTTCTTCATCTGGACTCATCAGCCTCATAGCATGATTTAAATAGCTGCCTATGTAAGTTACAAATGACTACTCAAATATGTGAAACATGGAATGTTAAATTGAAGGAAAGGAATTTATTTGAAATGCCTTAGGAAAACTAACTATTAAGGTACATTATAAGCCCATTTATATATATGATCTGGCCAGCCTCTGCTTTTTTTTCAGATCTCATTTCATATTACTCATCTTTCTAGTTAGTAATCTGTAGCCACTTGCCTTCTTTCTCTTTGTTGAACATACCAAGTTGATTCCCCCCTGAGGACCTTTGTACTTGCTATTTCCCCTGCCTTAAAAACTCTGCAACCCTGGATTTCCATATTACTCATTCCTTCTTAATTTTCATACTTCAGCTCAGATGTCACCTCCTCAAAAGAGACCCAGCTACCCTGTCCCTAAAGCACTCCTCTAGGCAATAACTCTTACCACCTATAATTTCTTTCCATCTTTCTTATTTGTTTGTTCTCTTTCCCTCTCTCTATCAGAGACACAAACACAAGTCCTGATAAGCATGTCAGTTTTGTTCATCAGCATCTACATTAGTGCTTGATACGTGTAGCAAGCATTCTATAAATATTTGTTGAGTTATTCAACATATTTTATTATTAATTACAATAACTATTAGGTTAAATATTTAATTCTAAGAGTAATATGTGTTAATTATAAAAATAAGCAGTTCATAAATATGTGGAATGTACTGTGAAAATCTTTACTCTCCCCACCTGCCTCCCCAACTCCATGAGGTAACAGAAATATTTGTATACTTTAAATTTTTTTCTGTGCACATACAAATAAGCAGTTATCTGTCTGTGTGCATGTGCATGCATGTGTGAGTGTGCATGTGTGTGTGTGTAGGAATTACCTATATGTGTATGTTTGTACTGATACTATACCAGGCATATTTTTCCTGTTTTTTCTTTCAACAGTATATCAGGAATCTCCTTCCATGTCAAAACATGCAGATTTAATGCATTCTTTTTTAATAGTGTGATTTTCTCCAGTATCACTATACAGCAATGTATTTAACTATTCCTGTACTGCTGAGCATTTGGATTATTTCCAGATATTTTCTTGAGGAAGGGGTGTCTCTCTTTCTTTTTTGCTGTTACAAATCATGCTATAGTAAACATCTTTTCACATATATCCTTCAGCAGTTATTTGAGTGTTAACATGGGCCAGATTCCTAAAAGTAGAAAAGCTGAGGTTATTTATGTGCATTTAAATTTTTGTCAGATTGCTCCCAATGCTTATGCCAGTGTCTACTTCTATCAGTGGTATATAGGTGAGGATTATCCCCTCCACCCCCAACATCCTGAGTATTATCCTTACTTCTAATGTTTGCCAATATGATAGACAAAAATGGAGTATTATGCTTTAATTTGTATTCTTTAGTTCATTGTGACTTTGAACATCTTTTTATATATTTATTAGTTATGTATGTTTCCTCTTTAAATTGACCAGACATATTTTTTACTACTTTTATCTTTTTCTTATTAAAATCTAGGCATTCTTCAGTATTCCTAGTAATTATCTAGTATTGAGAATGTTATTACTATTATTGTTGTTGCAGTTAACATTTATGAACTATGTAGCAGACTCTACATGGATTATCTCATTTAACATTCACAACAAGTAGATAATGTTCTCATTTTAAGATAAAAAATCCTCAATCCTCATTTTAAGATAAAGAAACTGAGGCTCAGATAGTTGTGTAAAGTGCCCAAGCACTGCTGAACACTATCACTGAGATGGGCAGTTTGTCAATAGCTATTACAGTCTTCAGTGTGTATTTACTTTGTCTCAGCTATTCTATATTAGGAATTTTTCATACTCAACATACATGAACAAAGATGATGGACCAAGTATATTCATTGCAGTATAGCTTGTGTAAAAGACTGCAATCTAATGTCTATCAGTGGTAAACTAGCTAAATAAATAATATATATCAAGGGGAAAAAATGAGGTAGGAATTACCTATATGTGCTGAAACAGAATAATTTGCAAGATATATTATTAAGTAAAAAGAAGCAAAGTAGATATTTTATGTACATATATGCATAGAATATTTCTGGTGATAGCTGTTATCTCTGGGGAAGGGAAAAGGGCGTGGGTAAGAAAGAGAATTTATATTTGTTTGTATTGCTTGATTTTTGTTATTGTTGTTATCTTGTGTGTTACTCTTTAAATTAATAAAAAAAAAGACAAATGATCTCCCCCCCAAAAATACAAACAAAATATTTGTACAGTCATGTTCATAGCAGCATTATTCACGATAGTCAAAAGATGGAAGCAACCCAGGTGTTCAACTACAAATGAATAGCGAAACAAACAAACAAGATGATGAAGGAGAGAAGTACAGGAGGGAAGAGGAAGAAGAGGGGGAGGACATGGTCAAATCTAAGCAATCTGATTGAAGATTTCACACTGCAATTTAATGCAAACAGTTTTCAGAATTATTAAATGTATTTTATTTTAGTTTGTTAATTTGTCTTTTTACTTTATTCATAATTGCTGTATGGAGTTTTAAAATTTTTATTTGTCAAATTTGTCAAATTATTTGTTTCTGCCTTTTGGCATTAAAATGCTACTATGAACATTGGTATCCAAATATCTCTTTGACCCTGCTTTCAATTCTTTTGGGTATATGCCCAGTAGTAGGATTGCTGGTTCATGTTTTTAATTTTTGAGGGAACTGCCACAGTTTTTTATAGCATCTATACCATTCTACATTCACACCAACAGTGCACAAGGATTCCAGTTTCTCCATATCCTTGCCAATACTTGTTATTTTCTGTTTACTTGATAGTAGTCATCCTAGTGGGTATGAGGTGCTATCTCCTTATTTCAGAGTCAGAAACTAAGAAAAGAAATTATTTGTTCACTCATGGAAGCAGGCCAATTTGCTAAATGCCTATTCACTCGATGTCCAATTCTCCAAAGACCTAGTTTATTGAATGACAGATTTCATGAAATTGATTGATACAAACTTAGCCAAGTTTTACTGATTAATATTCACAAGATTGCTTCACCAAAATCTTGTCTTTATTACCTACTTAGAACGATATAGAAAATTGTGTTGCTTAGAATGATTTCAACACCTTTTGAACTTTTCTTTAAGGTTTTATTTAGTGTTAATTTTACTGCAGCTGTTTTATCCCAGCTGTTGGATTTGTCAGTCCATTTTTGTACAATGTCAGTTTCATATTTTAGACACTGATAACTTCTCAAATGATTAAAACACAGAAAAATAGTAATCCTAACTGAGTTGATGAGTGAATCCTTATATTTAGAAAAGTACAAAAGACAATGGAATAGATTAAAAATGTATTGAAAGACAGAACTATGCCCTGGACATCCAAAATCTATCCAACATTTGTAAATCAATGAGAAATTCTCCTTCTGCAAAGTTATATTCTCAAGTAAAGTGCCCCAATGCACTGAAATTTGGTTATGGCCAAACAGCTGCATCCAAATGGCTGAAAACTAAGCTGAAACTGAATTAGCACTTTAAATGAGTAAACAAAGCAGGACATACCTTCAGAAGTTATCCTACCTAAAGTGATTTCTATCGTATTCTGTCCTATCATATTTAAAATGAATTGCTATAATTTGTAAGTAAACAATTTCTCAGTAAATCAGGAAAAGAATAAATTTAACACATTGACCATTTGGTGAATTCATCAAATTGGCTTTGTGAAAATTGACCAAGAGTCTTCGTCTGCACTTGTAAAATGACACTAAATAAGTGGCAGAACCCAGAATTGAGCCTACATTTTCTAATTAGTATGTAATCACTATTTTTTCTGCTACCTCACACTTTCTAAATTGAAGACATGAGATGGATGGAGATGCAGTACAATGAAAATGTGTGCAATAAAGTTTAAATTATCTGAAAACTGATTCCCCTCTTCCAAAAGATATGTGTGACATACTAATTAGATCTTTTGAGAGAAGATATCAGAATACTAGCTGAAGGGGTTGGTTAAATCACAAAGTTCTGATATAAAAGTGCCCAGATGGACTGTTATAAAAATTTCTTTTAATTTGAAACTTATTTTTCTACTCAGAAAGTTGAAACTAAGATGACTTGTGGGACTTGAGATGACACACACAGCTAACTCAGGCCACTCCATTCTCAGCTTTTCCCCTTGTCTCCACCAGTATGGAAAACGCATTAAGGATCTTTATCCAGGGTACATTTATTCTCTGTAGTCTTTGAAGGGTCAGTTACCAGGACATAGACCTGGGCCCTACATTCTAGGCATTACCATGTGGATATAATATAAATTCTTTTGGGTTAAGAGGGGGTTGAGCATTGAATTGATTCTACCTAGTTTGTTGTTGTTGTTGTTTTAAAGAAGAAATAATTACCATATTTTCTCTTTTGTCTATGAAAGAAGGAAGAGTCTTTGTACCACCATTGATTATATCTAAAGTGATAAGGTATTTCCTCTCTTGGTGATTTCAGTAGCTATTCTTAGTTCAGATCAGTTTGAAGAGAGGAAGAAAATATTCTAGTTGGCTTTCTTAATGAGAAAAAACTCCCACACAGTCTTTAGCAATCCTGCCATTGGACAGGTGGATCTCAGTTCTCTCTAAAAACCATTGTCTTTATGCTTATAAGGAAGGTGATGGAAGGAAAAGCTTTCAAATGAGCATGTAGAGCGGGAAGGTGTAGCTCAGTGGTAGAGTCCATGCTTAGCATGCGTAAAGTCCTAGGTTCAATCCCCAGTACCTGTGTTGGTTATTTTTTTTATCTCCCCCTCCCCCACAAAAAAAAATCATGTTAATCAAATTGCTTTCTTTTTCAGGAAGCAGTAGGAGACACGTTAGAAGAACTGTGGATCTCCTACAATTTTATTGAGAAGTTGAAAGGGATCCATGTAATGAAGAAATTGAAGATTCTCTACATGTCTAATAATCTGGTGAAAGACTGGGGTAAGCTGAGGCTGGCTTTTTGCTAACCTTCTACCTCTTGCTTATAGAAAATAACCCAATAGGGAACGAGATGCGAAATGGGGACATTTCTTTCTAAGCACAGAGAGAAATAGCTATAGGAGTACCTATATTTCAGTTAAACACTTGAAATTTACATTTAAATATTTACCTAGAATGATTATAATTGAATAGATTCTGATACTATTAATTGTGAAAAAAATTATTGTCCAAAGGCTAAAGAGAATCAGTTTAAATTTAATAATTATTGGGTGGAAGACTTATTTAACATCTACATTGCTTTGCTTTTTATTTACATTATTTGTTCAGCATTTTAAAGCCCTATTATGTACTGTGAACTATGACAGGCTCTTGAGATACTTATTTGAATGACGCTATCCCTGCCCTCAAGGGGAGATTAGTTTATAAGCTAATAATTATAAAACTGTGTGATAAGTTCTACAATAGAAGCTTGAATGAGTTGCTTTAAGAATCCAGAGATGAGGGACTGAGTAGAGACAAAAGCAGTTTAGCTTAGCCCGTCCTGATGCAGTACAACATAGAGAAGACCTGTCACTGGAGACTGAGTTGATTCTGAACCTCATTTCCTCTTCTTATCCCTTCCTTAGGCTAGCATAAAGGTAGATGAGGTATGTCTCCCTTTCCCTCCCTTTCCATAATGTCCTCAGAGAATGACTTCATATGGTAGAACTTCCCTTATTTCCTTCAGAATCTCAAATAACAAATTGTTCTGAATAGTGACAAACGGAGGGGTAGTAATATTGGAATTCAACCCCTGAAATCATAACGGTAAAACTTGCCATTTTAATGTGGAATGCATTCTTTGTACTTATAGCTGAATTTGTGAAGCTGGCAGAACTGCCATACCTGGAAGACCTGGTGTTTGTAGGCAATCCCTTGGAAGAGAAACATTCTGCTGAGGGGAACTGGATTGAAGAGGCTACCAAGAGAGTGCCCAAACTGAAAAAGCTAGATGGTGAGTGTCTCCGAGGCAGCTTGGAAATGTTTTCTGGTTGTAAGAATTGAATTTGTAACCTAGAATTATGAATGGGAGCAAAACTAAAGAAAATGATAGGTTGTTTCTAGTCTCCAAGGCCATTTCTGTACATAGGAAATTTTATGGCTCAAGTTTGGGCCAGGGTGAGATGAAAAACTTCTAGAATGTTTAGATTGGTATAAGATCATCCCTAAACCAAAAGCTTATTGGAAAGCTGGACTTATTCTCAAGTCCCAAAGAGACTGTCTTGCAAAATAATTACATATAAATAGTAAGCAGTTGTTTTCAAAATTAGATTAAAATTGTAGTGTTCTCTCCCGCCTAATTTTTGCTACCCAGTATCTAAGATAGGTGTCAGTGTCAGTAGAGATCCCCGAATGACTGGGTTCAAGTCCCAGTTCTACCACTTAATAGCTTTTTTGTTACTGTTCTAGTTCATTGATCTTACCAAACTTTGTTCTTTTGTCATCTAAAAACTAGAAATGGTAATAGTCACAGACCTCTCTGGGTCTTTCCTCCTCCCAGTGGTGCTCACAGGAAGCCAGGCCAGGGATCTGACTGTTCCAGCACCCATAGACTTTCCTCCTTTCTGCCAGCCCAAGGCAATATCTTTCTAGTCTGAGAAGATCACTATCCCCCTCCTTCCTTTTCGCATCATTCTACATTTTCCCACAAACTCTGTCTTCTCAGTAATCTTCTTGGGCTTTTTTCAAAGACAAAAGCCAGTAAGTCTGATGGTCTGTTTCTCCTTTCCACATGGCTCCTGAAGCAATGTGCACAGAGCCAACTAGCCTGCTTGATTGAATGGGGGGAAAAGAAAATACTTAGAAGAAGCAGATAGTAATATCCAGCTACATCATCATCATCATCATCATACCACGCACCAAATGCATATTCTCCCTCTGTCTTCATCACCATACTCATACTAATATTCACATCCAAAACAAAAGGACCTAGTTGTCTGTGGTTGAGGCTTCCTTGTCCCTCAACCCTTCTCTTCCCTCTTCCCTACCCCTATTGCCCTGCCATTCTATCCTTCCTATTCTGTATCTCTTCATCTCTCCCTTACCACCTCCATCTACATCTGAGTATTCAACCCTTTTATCCACACCAGCTTACTATGATGGTTGTTCTTAACTGGGGCTGCATCCCCATGAAGGGATATTTCAGAATCTGGAGAGAGAATGAAGGAGGTCTAGAGAGTATGAAAAAGTTTTGTAGGTGATTTTTTTTCTTTCTTTCTTTTTTACTTTTTTTTTTATTGAACTATAGTCAGTTTACAATGTTGGGTCAATTTCTGGTGTATAGCATAATAGTTCAGTCATACACATACATACATATATTTGTTTTCATATCCATTTTCATTGTAGGTTACTAGAAGATACTGAATAGAGTTCCCTGCAGTATTGTATAAACTTATTGTTTATCTATTTTATATATAGTAGTTAGTATCTGGAAATCTCAGATTCCCAATTTATCCCTTCCCACCCCCTTCCCCAATGGTAACCATAAGTTTGTTTTCTTTGTCTGTGAGTCTGTTTCTATTTTGTAAATAAGTTCATTTATCTATTTTTTAGATTCCATATATAAGTGATATCATATGGTATTTTTCTTTCTTTTTCTGGCTTATTTCACTTAGAATGACAATCTCCAGGTCCATCCATGTTGCTGCAAATGGCATTATTTTTTATGGCTGAGTAGTATTCCATTGTATAAATATACCACATCTTCTTTATTCAGTCGTCTGTCAGTGGACATTTAGGTCGTTTCTGTGTCTTGGTTATTGTAAATAGTGCTGCTATGAACATTGGGGTATATGTATCTTTTTGAGTTAAAGTTCCCTCTGGATAAATGCCCAGGAGTGGGATTGCTGGATCATATGGTAAGTCTATATTTTTAGTTTTTTGAGGAATCTCCATACTGTTTTCCATAACAGCTGCACCAAACTACATTCCTACCAACAGTGTAGGAGGGTTCCCTTTTCTCCACACCCTCTCCAGCTTTTATCATTTGTGGACTTTTTAATAATGGCCATTCTGACTG